TCCTAAGACTAGTTGGACAAAAAAAAAACTTTTGGGTGTTTCATTCCCACCAGCTAGTAATGCCGGACTATGCCGGAAGGTAGGGCGGAAGACCCTCTTCAGCCTGCTTTCAGGAATCGTGGGAATGGGTGGGTGGTGGTTCGGGTGAGAAAGATGAGACGGACGAAATGAAGACAGAAGAGANTTTTTTGTTTGGTAACAGAGGAAGGTTCACACTAACTCGGTACGTTTTTTGTTTTCAATAATATGGTCAGTAAAAGCTTTTATAAGTGCTTAAATGTGATGCTTCTTGTAGGACACTTATTTTTAATAGGAATTAAAAAATTTCCTTCAACAGGCTTTAGAAAAGAGCTTTATCTATCTCACTACAAATTTTCAAACCTTTGTTCCAAAAATTAAACTCATGATATCTAGAACCGATAAGCATGTTTTCAAAGGCTAAATTAAAAATGTAAATCTTTGTGTACATCTTTTCACAGCAATTCCGACCGAACTAAATAAAAGATCTTACATAATTGTGAAAATAGGAAGGGCGGCAAATTTAGGCTTGGTTCCGGGAGGCAGAAATTCACGCTACGCCACTGCTTGGGTGCGTAAAATTATTTACGAGCTTCTGTACAATGCTGAAACAATCGCACATTAACATCCAATGAAAAACCGCTTTGCATAAGACATTGGTCTATTAGAAATATGAAAAATGAATCGCATTACTTCTTAATTCACGCACGTTTTGTTTGTGGGTACAATATCGCAACTGGAATGCATATGTAATTTTTATGGTAATGTTTTTTCGCTTATGCACTTGCATAACCCCCAGATCAGGGTTCATGAACTATGCATCTACATCTATTTTTGCTATACGATTGTTAACTTATTACATGCAAAATTAAATATTTACTTGCTTGGTAGGTATATATATATGTAAATACATATACATACAAAGGTAGCATCGTTATTAGAAGCGCTCTTACACTGATGTGTGTTTACTCAAAATAAGTACTAATAGGTTCGGATGAAAGAGAGAATACTTTGCTTTGTTTTCAGTTTTCATTGTAATGGCTTGAATTGTGTTTTTAATGATGTGAATAAGTGTGTACATATTTGGTAAGTGTGTGATGTGCAACCGGCATAATTGGAAGCGATAAAAAATGGTTTAACACGTCGTTAACTAGGTGAATGTTATAAAATGAAATATTAAATACGTTTATTTTTTATGGACAACTGAAAATAGCTACTGTTTTATAGAAAGTAACAAAAAAAATAAGAAACAAACTCATGATTTTATAATGTAAATAGCAATTACTTTAGAAATTTAAAACTAATACCCAGTAATAACCAAAAAAATATGCAGCTTTTTTAGAATTAATTTAATCCGGGTTATTGTATGACTTTGTATTATAAATTTGTTTTATTGTTATTTCTCTTTTATTAATCAGTTTTGTAGTGATATTGTGTAGTTAGGACACCGAATTTTCAGTAATAATCGTTATACATATTAAATTTCACTATTTCTGGTGTCCCTTGGCTATGACCTTGTTCTCAAAGTAGGTGCGTAGCTATCATAGGGCTAGAATTGGGGTTCCAAGCGTTCAAGGGGTCGTCGTCCCTTCAAAAAAAATGGCTGAACAGATTTATTTTTTGTATACTTTATGCCATTTTATTTTTGTCACTATTTGTTATGTTAGTTACCACTGATTATATCATATTTTTCGTATTGTAATGTTCGTGGGTTTAACAAATTAAATTTTAAGAAGAAAATTATTTATTTACACTAATTACTATTAAACTTAAAAACACTATTAAATTATTACTAAACTTCGGTAATTATTCTATTTATTTACACTACTGTTACTATTCACTGTTCTATGTATTTCACTTCTATCACTGTCAATTTATCTCTTGATTCATTTCTGCAACAGTCAATTTATTTCTACTCTTCACTTCTACAACGGTCAATTTATTTCTACTACTCGGCGATCGTCTCTTCCTTTTTATACTTCCTTGCCTCCTTTCGGGAACATTCTTCAGCCGTCCAGATAAGTCTCGTTTTCTTTGAACGGTTTAATTGCTTTCCCGGAACGCAGGTACGACACACGTTTACAGATACGGCGCACATGAAGAAAGGCGCCCGCGGCTAGTCGGCGAATCGATAAGCCGCTCACACACACGTATGCCCGATCGCACACAATCACGCTCGTGGTCGCTACAATAGGTTTTACCCCCGGCTTCGCTCGCGTTTATGTCCTAAATGCGTGTTAAAGATCATTGACGATCACCTAAAACTAGGTTTTCTATTCCTTGGGAACAGTACCCTACGTCTTTTTCTATACCCTCGACAATGCGTGTATAAATTATCACATGATTGATTTTAGCCGCGGCTTCACTCGCGTTGATGTCCTAAGTATGTGTCAAAGATCATCAACGACCACCAGCTTTCATCGCCGAGAACAATAGGACGAGCTGAACATTATGGCTGGGAACGTTGTTTTCTAGATTTCTTTTCTCGTAAGGGTTTGAAGTATTCGTTATCATCCGGACACCTACCGAGCGGCATGACGTAGAGCTAGAGCTTTATACCACTGCTGATATTCGGGAGAATATCAGTTTGATTCCGAGTCTGCCAAAGTTTTAGTTTTTCTGCGGTTTTCTTAAATCACTTACGTTGAGCAAATGCAGGGACAGTAGTAATACTCCACAGATTGATAATATAATATTTTACTTCTCTTTGTTTCCATCTCACCTGTCTCGCCCCCAACCACCATACACCCATTTTCAAGAATCTTAAAAGGTGAAGATTGATTTCCCGAAACTCAATCGACAATCAATATTAAAGTCAAAGAAGGACGTACAGATAGGGGTTCATCGACTACCTTTTCCCAACCGTCCTTAAACACCTACGACCACCACTCTACAAACTGAATAAGCTGAGTCCCAGTAAGATTTTTTAAACAGTATATATATAAGCGGAGTATAAAGTGTATAATAAGTAGTTAAGTAGTATAAGAGATATCAGGAGATGGCGATTTACTCCCACAATTTGATATAATACAAACTTGTTAAAGTCGTTGAAATGTATAGAATATAATAATTGTGAACATAGAAAATGGCTTGGCATGGCATTATCAATGATACTTTTGATGGACACTTACAATTCTTTATTAGCAGACTACGTTCTAAATTTGTAGGTAACATATGATAACATCCTTCTTCACTCCAAAGAAGGTCCAACTTTCAGTTAGAAATGTCCTATGGGACACACCTCATTTACATGAAATCCACTTTTTGTTAGGAATTAGGTACAGTTTATTTTATATACTACAGTGGAATTCGTTTATTATAACTCCGCCTATATTGACCAACCGCTTAATATGAAGTTATTGCAGTTTTGGTTTTCATATTAAATTCTCTATAGGAAAGTTTGGATATAATGACATATCGTTTATTATGACTGATTCTAAAGAAATCATATCCGGCTATAGTGAGCCAAATGATTAATAATAACATTTTCGCACATTTTTATGACCCTTCTTATGTATATTGATATTACAATTCATCGTTCTTTTTCTTTTTCTGTTAATAAATATATACAATTTGTACTTTTTCTCTCTATTAAACTAAATAACTAACCAAAATAGAAAGTTGTTTATTTTCTAAGACTATGCTTTGTATGA